TTAGAAGTTTGTGTTAGTTCCCCCTTGAGGTGGTCATGTCTCAGATGAGTTAATCTTCTACTGGTATTCTTGGGGGTTATTTGGCAATATTCTTGGGGATTATCTGGCAACATCCTGTTTTTTCTTGCCACAAAATGGGTGCTTTGTTCGTTTTTTCATCCCTAGATCATTATCACTTGTTTTCACCCTCCAAGGAGGAACATCAGTTAATCTTAAACCTTTTGTAGAGACTGGAAACAGAGGGAAAGACAAGATCATGAGACAATGTGGCGGTCAGCAATGGGGAGTAAATAATAGTGAGCCAGGCCTATGCAGCCTCTTCCAGTAACAGTAAAGACATTTAATTATCAAAGAACGATGTTCATTTTTTCTACAAACTGTATCATTAATCTATTTTTTAAAACTTTGACCTTGAATAAAACTAGTAAAATCTGTAGTTAAACTGTAAAAAAATCTCTTCATCTAAAAATAACTATTTTAATGTTTTCAAACAGACTAATAAAATAAAGCACATATTACAGATTACTTTGCCTAATTTAGATGTTGTTGTTGTTGTTAGGTGCCGTCGGGTCGATTCCAACTCACAGTGACTCCATGCAAACAGAATGAAACACTGCTAAGTCCTGCACCATCCTCACAATCTTTTCTATGTTTGAGCCCAGTGTTGCAGCCACTGTGTCAATCCATCCCGTTGAGGGTCTTCCTCTTTTTCGCTAACCATCTACTTTACCAAGCATGATGTTCTTCTCCAGGGACTGATCCCTCCTGATGAAATGTCCAAAGCATATGAGACGAAATCTCGCCATCTTCGCTTCCAAGGAGCACTCTTTCTGTACTTCTTCTAAGGCAGATTTGTTCGTTCTTCTGGAAGTCCATGGTATATTCAATATTCTTCCCCAACACCATAATTCAAAGGCATCAGTTCTTCTTTCGTCTTCTTTATTCATTGGCCAGCTTTTGCATGCATATGAGGCGATTGAAAATGTCATGGCTTGGGTCAGGTGCACCTTAGTCTTCAAAGTGACATCTTGGCTTTTGAATACTTTAAAGAGGTCTTTTGCCGCAGATTTGTCCAATGCAGTTTAGATATTAGTGATTTAAAATATCTTCTTTTTAAAATTTTCTCTGAGGATCTTTAGAAAACTCAAATTGGAATTACAAAAAGAAATAGGTATATTTCTTTTGGCTCTGGCCCTATCAAAGCTTTTAAAATAAGTTTTCCAGGCCTTTTGTCACTTTTCACTAAGATAGGGAAGTCAAGATTGTGAATGGGTGTGCCTCAGTTATCTGACAATGGAAATAAGCAACAACCGCAGGTAACTCTAGCTACTGCCAAAGCTTTAGGGAACAGAAACTTTTCAAGTGTACATTCTTGGCTGTTTCTCAACTTCCACAAGCATTTTCATTTTTATAGTCCACTATTTTTAACCAGTTGTCAGAGGGAGAAAACCATTACTGAGATTAAGTTTTGATCTAGAGTTGAAGACTTATTCAAAGTCTCATTTTGGGTCATCTAGTAAATCAAGGAGAAGTCCTGGGGGCACAATGGTTAAGCACTCGGCTGCTGCTTAACCAAAAGGTTGCTGGTTTGATCCCACCCAGAGGCTTCAAGGGAGGAAGACATGGCGATACGCTTCCATAAAAATTAAAACCCATTGCCATCAAGTCGATTTCAACATCGAAGAAAACGCTGTGGGGCAGTTCTACTCTGTCACATGATGGGGTCACTAGGAGTCAGAATCGACTCAGCTGGCACCCAACAACAATGACTCGGCAGGTCCTATCGTCTGCTACAAACCTATTGTCTTCAGGGAAGACAATAAGTAAGTCATCTTAAGGGCAATTGAGAAAATTGAAATAATCTACAGTACCTCGAATTTTAACAATTATTGCATTTTTTCAATTAGTGTTATTAATAACACCTCCTATTTATATAGGAAACCCTGGTGGTGTAGCAGTTAAGAGCTATGGTTGCCAACCAAAAGGGCAGCAGTCTAATCCACCAGGTGCTCCTTAGAAACCCTGTGGGGCAGTTCTGCTTAGTCCTATGGGGTCGCTACGAGTCGGAATTGACTTGACGGCAACAGGTTTTATTTACATAGGCCTTTGCATTTATAAAGTATTTCACATACTTTATTTTATTTAATTTTAAAGATTAGAGATGAGAAACTCCAATTCTGATAGTATCATTTTATTGTATGAGTGCATTGGTATAATCAAATTTCTTATTTTATGATCCACCTGCTGTAATGTTCTTCAGCTGAAAAAAGATACTCTGGCTGTCTCTATTCCAGAAAAGAAATAAATATTGATGATTAACTAACAATTGCAACCTTTACAGGAATCTGCCTCACTCATAGATAATGCACCCTTCGCTGTGGTTACTGTTCCTGATTACACCTAACTCTGAGAGTTCAAAACTTAACCCTGCCTGCAGAACCTCTTTATCACTAGGAAAGCAGAAAGCATCAATATCGTTTTATTGCCGGGTAAACCAACCCATAAACATGAAACTATCCTGAGGTTAAAGACAGAATTGAGACAAATGAGTAGCTTCCTTCTATCATCTTCTATCATCTATTAGAATCTGTGAGCGGTTTCCTAAAGTGTGAAGTAGGCTAGTATGACCTCAGTCACGTCAAGCTGTGCCCGTCCTCAATTCTCAATCCCTTTCTCCTGGTACGGGGTCTGGCTCCTCTCTTCTGCTATATGCCTATTGTCTTCAGGCTCCCTCCACCCTTGTTGTCGTCAGTTGCCATCAGTTGATTCTGACTCATGGCGACCCCACGTATGCAGAGTAGAACTGCTCCGTAGGGTCTTTTGCAGAAGCAGATGTCAGGCCTTTCTTCCAAGACGCTGCTGAGCGAGTTCAAACCACCAACCTTTAGATTAGCAGTCCAGTCCAAACCGTTTGTACCACCCAGGGACCTCCCTCCACCCTTAGTCATTCCAAACCTCCCTGAAGCAGAAAATAGGATCATTGCATTTACTCTAATCTATAAAGAGCACCTGGGAGGTTATCTGTTTCCAATTTCACCACGCAGGAGAAAATCCGTCTTTACTTGTGGAATCCCAGACCTTTGGTGAGGATGCCTCTCAGCTATGGGGCAGAAGGGCCTGGACTGCTCTACTGTGAGGCAAGGGCATCACGTGTCGCAGGTTGATTAGAGCTCCGGAGCAGGTATATCCTGCCTCTGCTCTTGCTCGCTGGTCATTTCGGCACTCTCTGGGACTCAATTTACTAATCTTTCAGGGGGACCTACCCTCCGGACTGTGAGGATTAAATGAGATAATGCACACCATGCACCTGACTTGCATGGTACCCTTTGAAGGCAGGTAAAGTTTAGCTCAACTCCCTGGCTGCTCTTGTCCCCGCCCAAGACCAGCACTTGTTGAAGCGGGTGGGGAAGGGTAACCCTTAAACGTTGAAGAGATCCTGTTCCCTAATTTTCAAAATCTAGCTCTCAAGTCACATCCTCTCCAGAGGCACCACTTATTTTGGGCGGCGCGGTTCCTATTGGGTTGTTAAGCTTCAAAATCTGCGGGAGAGCTCAGAAGGCGATAAGAACGCAGGACTTTCTTCAGAAGGAACGTCGGCGGAAGGGGCGGGCGAGGGGCGGGAGGAGTCTGGTAAGCTCGCGCCTTCCCCGCCGCGGTCGTTTATAAAGGCTCCCGGGCGCGCGCTTGGCCTGCCAGCGGTCGAGACAGTGCGTGCGCAGGGGGGTCGGACACTCGTTCCCGCGCCCCCTCGGCTTGGCTAGGTCCACACGCCGCGCCCCCTACCCCCTTTCCGGAAACCTGATTTGACCGCAATTTTTCTAAGGTTTTCCTCCTGCTGTTTTTGGTTTTAAAACTCCTTTTGCAAGACCTGTACCTTTAGTAGGTACAGGTTCTTGATTCTGCAAAACAACTCAGCTTAACATCAGGTGGTACCCGGTTCCTGGAGAGGAGCTGCCGCGCACTCGCCCGAGTCAGGTGCGGAACCTGGGCGGTGGGCTGTGACCATCTCCCCGACCCCGAGCCTCCTCCCGGTCGCCTCCATTAGCCTCGTTCCGAGCCTGGAAGGTGAAGCCTTTGGGGAAGTTCACGGACTCATGAGCTCCAAGGTACCTGTCGGGCATCTGTCTGCGGGGATGACATTGAGACTCTCTCTTCTGTTTGTAGCCCAAAGAAGGAGGCTTTGTCAAGGAGTTTTCAGGGTGCTGTATAAAAAATAACCACCCGCTGCTCCTGCTGACTTGGCTTAGAGGCAGACGCTCAAGATAATACTAAAGAAAGGTTTTAGAAATCATGTTCAGCATGATCCCAACTTTATAAAATATATGAATATAAATGCGGGGAGGAGGAGCGAATGAAATATAGGAGATGGGGGCTGTGTTTTCTCTGCAAACAAAGAATTCCATCTGTGAAGTGTAGCTCACAGAGCAGTTGGCGTGTGAACCCCTCTCGCCATCCGCACCGACCCACACTGTCGCTGGCCGAGGCCTTTCTGCGGGTCCCGGGCTCCCTGGAGCGCCGAGTTCCCCTGCGGAGGGTTCTTCTAGACTCGCTTGTGCCACAGCCTGCCTTCTTTGCTTCAGTCTGGTTCATCAAGGAAAAAAAAAAAAACAAAAAATCCATTGTATTCTTGGACTTTCCCCAACTCTCAAATTGAAAAGGGGAATTTCCCCAATCCTCTGGAATTTCCGAAATCCGCTCCGAACCTCAGGCGAATATCCGCAGCCACCCAGAAACCGAGGCTGTGCAGATTTGATTAAGTAGTGGCCAGTTAGAGGCACAGAGGGAGGAAGAAGATACCGTCACTGAAAAAAATAACTGCTTTTCTTAGGTTTTCCTTCTGCTGTTCTTAGTTTTCACTGCCTCTGCTCTTGCTCGCTGGTCATTTCGTCACTCTCTGGGACTCAATTTACTAATCTGTCAGGGAGACCTACCCTCCGGACTGTTCCTGCAGTCAGTTGGTTCTGCTTAACGGTCGAGTTCACAGATGTCTTCAATGCCACACTGCAGGGTGTTTGATGACCGTTAGGGTTTGGGGACAGGAGGACATATTTGTTTTTTGCTTTGCTTCCAAGTTTCTCTTCCGCTCCTGTTAGCTCAGCGTTTGGTGTTTGTCAGCGAGAAGAGCCTTTGATAAAAATGGTAACTTTCTACTTGCTACCACCCAAAAACATATTCTCTCTAGAGAATACCAATAGGGTGAATTTGTGGAGTGTATGTGTATGTGAAAATAACAATTTTTTTGGGGGGGGTACTTTCCTTAACACATCACCCAGGACAGAACAACTTTATAACAATCAACCTTGTTTTTTTGTTTTATTCTTTAAGAAACAAAACAACTCATAAAGCATTAGAAACTTTATTCGCATGCATCACCACCCATGGGCACCAAACTTTCTGTTAAACTGCTTGGACACCTGGCTGCTTTTAGCAAAAATATCTCTGTATATCTTTTTGTTCATGACAGTTTAAGGCTGCATACTCTTCGGCAAGAGTGGGGAGCATATCCTTTCACTGCCTTTGCAGGACCTTGGGAGGAGTGCGAGAAAGGGGAAGGAAAAGAGGTGACTGTATACACACACACACACACACACACACACACACACAACACCTGTATACATATCCACTCTTGTCTTTGAGAGGAGTCAGGAGCCTCCACCTAAATTTGACTCTTTTCTTCTTCTGTCTAAGACTCTCAGGTAAGTGTATATACTTCCTGACATCTAGGGTGTATTATATTAACTCTTCTTTTCTCACACTCAACAATGCAGCGCCCATGCTTTCTATATTGTGCTATTGGTGATAAAGTTCCTGACAGCAAAGCTTGTTTTTATTTATTTCTTTATGTATTCATTTCGGTTCCTTAGTTAACACAGATACTACTGCATGTCAGGCATCATCACAGTGTTTTACAACATCCGATAGCCAGAATTTACCACTATAATGATACTTAGCTAGTCTCCAGCTCCGTTTAACTCCATAAAAATTAGGTGGTTTGTGATTTTGTAGAGAACATATTTGTTAAATATTTTTGAGTAGATCTTAAGTGAACATGGTATAAGATTCCAGAGGGACAGCATGTACAGTGAAGAGTAAGTCTCCTTCCCACCCCTGACCCCTGGCCCCCAGTTTTCCTCTCTAGAGATAATTTATGTCTAAGAGATTTCAAAGAGATATTTTTAAGCACCTGCATACCTGTGACTTAAAAAAACCCACCAATTTTAAGTTGACTGTTTTAGGTTTTTGTTAGTTTCTTTTCCGTGTGTGGGTTTTGTTTTTTGTTCTTTTGTTTTTGCTGACCACTGTGAATTTCAGGGATTCAAGCCACTTTGTTGATTAGCAGATTAGTTTCTAAACTCCTCGAGGTCAGAGATCATAATTTACTCAACTTTAGAGTACCAAAACAGCCTGTCACAATTACCAGTGAGTACTCAGTCCATGCTAGTATTTATACACCTAGGCTTCAAGTAACTAACATTCAAAGTAACTTGGTGCTTCAAAGCCTGTCCTTATGATTAGACAATGCCAAGTCAGCACTAGCAGCATCTTTACCTCTCCAACACTAGATTCTAGGTTGGTGTCTTGCTGGTTCTAGCACACACACCTCTGTGCCCCTTTCTTTACCAGTTAACTGCTATGGTTTGTGAGCCAGGGAGGCAGTGTCTGTAGTGGTTAAGAGTGTTCGCAGGGCATTGGAGCTGTTTGAATCCTGCCTTTGGGACTGGATTTGTGACCTGAGCTAGTTATTTAAACCCTTTGAGATTCAGCTCCCTCCTCTGTAGTGAAGCACAGGGTTGTTGTGAAGATTAGGTAGAACAAGAGTGTAAAAGGCTGAGCGCTGTTCCTGGTGCCTGAAAGGTTCATAATAAGTAGTAGCCCTTCTGAGTGTCCGGGTCTGCTGTTGTTTCATACCTTCATAAGATAAAACCAAAAACCAAACTTGTTGCTGTCGAGTCGATTCCGACTCATAGCGACCCTATGGGAAGAGTAGAACGGCCTCATAGGTGGTTTCCAAGGAGCAGCTGGTGGATTCAAACTGCTGACCTTTTGGTTAGCAGCTAAGCTCTTAACCAGTGTGCCACCAGAGCTCCAAAAGACAGGTAGATGCATTCGTCCGCTCAGGCTCAGTTATGGCGAAATAGCAAATGACCTTAAAAATCGTATGGCTGACAGCAAGAACACGCTCGTGTTACATATTCTTTGTGGTCTGGTTTCAGCACTCCCCTCTGGGACATAGGCTGAACTCACTTTGGAGACTGGTAATGTTGTGGCAGGAGCCCTGGTGGCGCAGTGGTTAAAGAACCCGGCTGCTAACCAAAAGGTCAGTGGTTTGAACCCACCAGCTGCTCCACAGGAAAAAGATGTGGCAGTCTGCTTCCGTAAAGATTTACAGCCCTGGAAACCCTATGGGGCAGTTCTCCTCTGTCCTATAGGGTTGCTAGGAGTTGGAATTAACTGGATGGCAATGGTTTTTTTTAATTTTAATGTTGTGGCAGAGGAAAAGACAGATGGTGAAACTTTGTGGTGGCCTTTAAAGGTTCTGCTCAGAAGTGATACATATCACTTCCATTCACATTTCACTGACATGGTTGTCAGTAGAGTGGAAAGTATCATTTTTCTACAGGTGCAGAGCCAGTTGGGATAGATAGTCCTGGTAGGGAGAGTCAGCAAATGAATTGACAGTAACAGAGTCTACCACAGTGTTTATTAGAGGAGTCATAATTGTGACCTCTGCTTTGTAGTTTCACCCAGAGATACATCAGACCCTGAAAACTGATACTAAGACACTCATCAGCCACTGGTTTATAAACCAGAATGCCAGTTTATTCCCCTGCAATGGGTACTAAGCGCAAGAGCCTGTAGAGGGCACACTTTTTTTGGTGGTTGATTTACTGAAAAGCTAATAAAGATAAAAACAAGAGAAGTTGGATGTTACCAAAGGACTATTTATATCCAGAACACATGGTGGTTTTTGATCCTGTTCTCCTTTTGGAACTATTACTGTCCAGAGTCCAAGAATGAATGAGAATTATGGCAGCATCTCCTAGGTAGGACTAGAGATCACTAACAAATTCTCGCTCTTCCTTTATAGATTCTTTGCTTGTTAACAGCTAATTATATCATCTCATGACTTGTTGTAATTATTCCTTTTTATGCTGTCTGCTTCTTGAATAATGAGAATCTTTAGTATCATGATTAAAATATCTTTAAATCACAGTGTAGGGTGGATTAACTAATTCTAGCCATTATGTATTAATTATTGCTGGCTTTGGATTCATAGTACCTTTTACCATCCTAGCCCATGATTTTGAGGGTGCATCTCGCTTTTATGGCTGGACATCTGTTGTCTGCAATATAGTGTAATATGTCCAAAAAAAATCTATTTTGATAATAAATTTAGAATTAAAGATGTATTTCCAAATCAATAAAAAAGACATTTTGCTTAGCTGTGTTACTTGTTAAGCAATCGAATAAATTGAGGATTTACTTTTTAGCAGCATAAATTTACAAAACAGAAGGAAAGAAAAGATTGTATTTTAAAAGAGCAGCAAAGCACAGAAAGGGAAGGAAAGCTTTCAGCTTTTTTTTAAACTAGCATAATTTTGATAGCAATATCTGATACAGATGTCACATACACAAAGTGAAAACTACAGATCAGCCTCACTTAAGATTGTTGATGCAAAAATTCTAAATACAGTACAAGCAGGTAGAATTCAGCAGCACAAGCAACTGAGGGTCCTTCAAAGAATGCAGGGACACTCAGCACCACTACATCTATTGGTATATTTATCACCCCAATATATTAAAGGAGTTTTATGGAGCCCTGGTACCACAGTAGTGAAGAGCTATGGCTGCTACCCAAAAGGTCAGCAGTTCAAATCCACCAGCCACTCCTTGGAAACTCTATGGAGGCACTTCTATTCTGTCCTATAGGGTCATTATGAGTCAGAATCGACTCAATGGCAATGGGATGGAGCCCTGGTGGTGCAGTGGTTAAGTGCTTCGCTACTAACCAAAAGGTCAGCAGTTCAAATCCACCAGCCACTCCCTGGAAACCCTGTGGAACAGTTCTACTCTGTCCTATAGGGCTGCTGTGAGTTGGAATTGACTGGATGGCAACGGATTTGGTTTTAGTTTATGCAGCTGTTGAAGAATAAGACATACTTGTATATATGGGAGACAATCTCCAATATGCATTGTTAATTGAAAAAAACTAAATCCAGAAGTAAATATGGTATGTTTCTATTGTGTAAGAAAAAGTTTTCTCTATGTGTAGAAAGTGTATGTGTGTATGTCTATGAGCACACACACAGTTATGCATGCTATGTAAAGAAACTTTCTGTAAGGATGAAAGCAACTTTTACTGGAGAAGAAAAAGAGGTTAGGGTGGGAGGAAGATACTTTTTGTTTTAAATTTTTCTTTTTTACTGTTTGAATTTTTTTTAGCATGTGCACATATTGTTAAATAAATTAGCTTTAAAATGGAATTTCTATCACAAAATTTTAGTAACTAATTCTCCTATCCTGTTATATGACTTAAATACTCTGTTGATTATTAAATATAAATTTAGTGAGGTCTAAGTGGAGGGCACCACAGGGCTATCAGCTCTAGAAGGATGTAATTAATAGCAGTTAGATTGTGCTACTTGTGTTAATGACAGCATGTCATCCAGCCATTAGGACCCACTGGCAAAAATAAATCATTCCAGCACTATTGCAGACTTTGATACTTAGAATTACCTCATGGAGAATTATATATATATATGTATGTATTTATTGTCTATTTAATTATAAAATAACCATTTAAAACATTTGCTATTTTAATCATTTACCTGATAGAAATATAAATGATGATATAAAAGATAATCTTTGCAATTGTTTATAACTTAATATTTCTTTAATCAGGCTTCACAATTCATAATACATCTAATAATAATATAGTTAATAAACTGTAGGTTTTCTTTATGTGTATATCCTGTAAGGCCATTCAGATCAAAGAGGATTTTTTCTTTTTAAAACATAGCTGTTGTATTTTTTCTGGGCCCCATTCACTCTATTTAATTGAAAAAGGCACTGAGGTTTCTTTTGCTTCCCCAAAATCACTTTATTAAAATATCTTTAACTTTTCAGCAGTCATTCCTTGTTATTGTCCAGATTATATGTATGCTTTTATAGTCAAACTAGAAATGAAAAATATCAAAAGGGTAACACACCAATTCTCGTTGTTGTTAGCTGCTGTTGAATCGATTCTGACTCTTGGTGACTCCACAAGTGCAGAGAAGAATAGCTCCATAGGGTTTTCAAGGCTGTGACCTTTCAGAAGCAGATCCCAAGGCCTGTCTTCTGAGACACCTCCGATGGGTTCGAACCACCACACTTTAGGCTAATAGTCAAGTGCTTAACCATTTGCACCACCTAGGGCTTGTTATAAAACTTCACGTATCTACTAGATACTTGAAAGTATTTCATGTGTTATCTTCTTAAAGTCTAAATAAATTGTCTATCAGAAGATTTTCATCAAAATATTACAATCAACCCCGAGAGTATGGCCCCCAGACACCCTTTTAGCTCAGTGGTGAAGTTACCTTCGAGGCTCACTGTTCAGCCTGGGAGTGGACAGCCCAGTAAAACCATGAGAGTAACGAGGTACAGGAGTCCAGTGACAAGGCCCAGAAGGCAGAAGGGGAGTAGTAAGCTGATGATAGGGAACACAAAATAGAGTAAGGATATTGTTGATGTGTTGTGAGATTGTTAACCATTGTCATAGGGCAACATTTGTAGTAACTGTCAAATGGGAGACTATTTTGTCCTGTAAGCCTTCATCTTAAGTGAGAATAACAGCACAATTAGAAGAGCGTAGTCAATGTCACTTAAATGTGTATGTAAAAAAAATTTTTGAAATGGCGTATCTTTGGCTATGTGTATTTTCACAAAAAAAAAAAAAAAGTTGAGAATTTAGAGGGTTAAAATGTTGTGGGGTTGTTAACCAATGTCATAAAACAGCATGTGTGTTACTGTTACATGAGAAACTATCCGTTCTGTAAGCCATCACCTGAAGTACAATAAAATATTAAAAAAAAAAAATATTACAATCAAAATATCTCAGTGCCTCAAGTATGAGAGTGAATTACCTGGTTGAGACTAACTTTGTGGTTTCATTGTTGCAGGCGGGTCCGATTCCAGTGCATGTCATGTCCAGTTTTGAAGATGCTGACACGGAAGAGACAGTAACTTGTCTCCAGATGACTCTTTACCATCCTGGCCTGCTGCAGACTGGAATATTTCAGTCAATCAGGTTTTGTCACCGAGAGAAACTGTCCTCCAGTGAAGTGGTGAAATTTGGCCGAAATGCCACCATCTGTCGTTATACCTTTCTAGACAAGCAGGTTTCTCGAGTTCAGTTTTCTTTGCAGCCATTTAAAGACTTCAGTAGCTCTGTTCTCTCTTTTGAAATTAAAAATATGAGTAAGAAGACCAGTCTTATTGTGGACAGCAGAGAGCTGGGCTACCTAAATAAAACGAACCTGCCGTACAGGTGCATGGTCAGATTTGGCGACTATCAGCTCCTTATGGAGAAGGAAGATGGAGAGTCATTGGATTTTTTCGAGACTCAATTTATTTTGTCTCCAAGGCCACTCTCACAAGAAAACATCTGTGCAGCAACAAATCCTGTACCTGAGAATGGCAATTGTTCCACCCGAAGCACTTCTCCTACAGAAATGGATGAAAATGAAGCATGAACACAGAGGGCTAAGAAGACAATCATGGAGGATGAAGCGCCCTGTAGACACCTTATAGATACTCTTCTTATTCAGATAGACCCTCTTCTTATTCAGAGTTTATTACTGTAGTAGGTAAAGCCTCAATTCCCCTGTTAGGCTGTCAGATTTAGGATTTGGTATATCATTTTGAAGTCTGTAAACTGTGTTTGTCAACAACTTAGTCACCTATTGCATTCCAGGATCTATGAAGAATTACTTTAAGTGTACAGCTCTGAGGGCTAATGTACAAAATATCCTTTGTGATGAAGGAATAGTGTTTCTTTTTTTATCCTTGATTATAGTTCTGTGTTTTGTTTTCATAAGGAACCATGTCTTGGTTTGGTCATATAATTTTAGTCCTTTGTTTTCATATAAAAACAGCAGCCCTTTGTTTTCAAGGTCAAGACTCTGAGAAGGTTGTAGATGGTGTTTGTAGCCTGTTGGTTATTGTAGTGCCAGGGTACTGGAACATAGCATAATGCGTTCTAGAGTGGTCTGTCATTGTGGTTTTAATATGGAAAGACTTATTTGAGAAATAATATTTTTATTTTTTTACTATTTTCTTTCTGTGGAATAATAGAGTGGTTTTTCCCAGGACAACAGTTCTCCTTGTATCAATTCAGCATCTAAAATATTTAAATATTTTAAAGAACCACTGTGTTTAGAATTATTTTTTAGTATTCTTACCAAATTTTAAAAGTTTGATTCTTATGTACTGAACATAATTTTATAATTCCATAAATACAATTTTTAACAGCATCTATAAAGTCAAAGTTTAATTCACTAACCATTTTCTATGGAACTGTTTCTACAGAAAAGAAAGACTCACCTCTGTATAGTCGGAATTAACTCGATGGCAATGGGTTTATATAAGTAAATGTGTAATGTGAACATTTATAATAAAGGCTTAAATATTTCTAATGTTAATTTTGTTTTCAAAAAAGCTATCTTTATTTAAAAGATTTTCATTCAGTTTAACTGGGCTCCTTATTTTAACTAGGTAGTTTAAAAAAAAAAAAAAAACTGTTGCCATTGAGTTGATTCTGACTTACGACAACCCTATCTGTGTCAAGGAGCCCTGGTGGTGCAGTGGTTAAGAGCTCAGCCACTAACCCAAAGGTTGGCAGTTCGAATCCACCGGCTGCTCCTTGGAAACCCTATGGGGCAGTTCTACTCTGTCCTATAAGGTGCTATGAGTCGGAATCGACTCGATGGCAATGGGTATGTGTAGTGTGTATGTGTGTCAAATAGAACTGTGCTCCTCAGAGTTTTCAATGGCTGATTTTTTTGAAGTAAATGGCCAGGACTTTCTTCCAAGGATCCTCTGAGTGAACTTGAACCACCAACCTTTTGGTTAGCAGCCGAGTGTGTTAACCATTTACACCACCTAGGGACTCCAATTAGATAGTTAATGAGTGTTAAATTAATAGTAATGGTAACTGCTCAGGTAAGTTAAATTCTAGCATTACAGGAAGTGGTATTATTGGTGTTCAATACAAGGTACTGTTGCTAAGTTGTAAAATTTTCATGACACACCCTTTGGACATTTATCCCGGGAAATTGATCTTTTCTTGAGCACTTTAAGTAGAGGGGTGTATTAATTGGTGCCAGTGTTAGTCATAGACTGTCTCTTTTAGGATCTGCAACTTCATTACATGGTTATGTTTCCCAGTGGTGAAATCTTGTCCAGGCATGGACCAGTAACGTGAAATTTACCTCCAAAAATGGAGGATGCCGAGAGACTGAAGAAAGAGGTGGGCAACTCTAGCATGGCAGCAAAGGAGTTTATTAGGGAGACTGACAGACGAGGCGAGTCCTGGGTGGCCTCAGGACCAAAGCAGATCTCCACGCTCCACAGTGGGAGGGCAGAGGTTTTATAGCACTGGTGGACAATAGAAGCTACAAGCCAGGGTAGCCAGGGACTGACATACGAATGACTCAGCAAACTGTAGTGAACTAGCGGACTGCATGAGGGCGCTCATGTTCGGCCTCGCAAAGCCTGTTTCTCCTTCAAATCTCATACATGATTATATAACCATTTTCTAGAAACTTTTGTTGTTCCTATCTAAGATATTTGGCTGACTTTGGGAGAAACCTTACTTTTAGGCTCTAACTGTAACATGAGTGGTGCAATTTGTTTGAATGAGGGTGAGTTGGGGTATGTATTCACTTAAGCTCGATCTTTTTTAAATAATACATAAATTAATAATATATATGACTTATATATATTCTACTATTCTGTGTGTATATGTGTGAATGGAGGTTCATGTTAACACTTACCCTGGGGCTTTTGGATTGAAAGGCAGGTATTTTTTCCTCTCTCTGGGGCTAAAAGGGGTTCAGGGCATGACTGAAGGATGGAACAGTCCCAGTGGTAATAATTGTAAATAGCCCCAGCCATGTGGATGCATGCGAGGAGTGAGTGGCACCACTGAGCCTCTGCTTTGTGCTGGCTGGGGGCAGTCGCAGCACCAGAAGTTGAGAGAGGCTGCCTGCTTCTGGTTTAGCCAGCATTTGGGGTAGTGTTTATGGGACACATAGGTGCTCATGTGAAGAGAGACCAAAAAATGCAGTATAACTAAACCCAAAGTTAACCTTGGTTCTTTTTACCAGAACCTCGGTAGGGAGGCAAGAAGCAAAGAGAAAAGCCACATGCACGTGTTCAAGACCTTTTAACACACAGCAGCCACCCTTCCCACTAGTAAACGTGACTCAGTGCTTCAGAATCTAACCTTTCCCCTCATGTTCGGTATCCTCCAACACCAGAGATCTCCTAATCCAATTGGTTACGTTATTTTATAATCTCTTCCCTCTCCATATACCATGTTGTAATCCACCATAATTTGTTTAATCTGATATTATCCACATTTTAAAAATAATTATCACAGAGTATAAAACATGAAAACGTGCAAAACATATGCTTAACAAAGGGTCTGTATCCTGTATCCAGAATATATTCAGTGAATCAATAACAATAAGACAAGCAACCTAAAAAAGGATGGGCAAATAACGAATCATCACCTCAGAAGGGAAAATATATTGTTGTTAATTGCCATTGAGCCAGATCTGACTTACGATGACTTTATATATAACAGACTGAAATGTTGCCAGTTCCTGCATCATACTCATGATCGTTGGTATGAATCCATTGTTTTGGCAATGGAGAAAATATATGAATGCCCAATAAGCACATGAAAACGTGCTCAACATCATTAGCCATCATGGAAATGCAAATTAAAACTACAATGAGATAACATTTCACACCTATTATGGCCAGTCTATAGGGTTGCTGTGAGTTGGAATTGACTCAATAGCAATGGGTTTGGTTTGGGTTTTTTATGGCCAAATAAAAACAACAACAAAAACCCACCAAGGCCCCCAGTTCCTAAGCTTCTATTGAACACTCCGAAGCTTCCCCCCAATGCTCCCGATTCCCCAACTCTGCCCACCTTCTTCCCCTCCCCTCAAGACCATTTCCCCAAGTAGTAGCCTCTACATTCACTATCCAGAATCTTGACACTTTTGATGTCTTTGCAGATTCAAGAAAGAATGATAACCTGAACCTCCGCTCTTTGAACCCTTTTGCTGCTTCAGGTAAGAATGACAACCTGCTTCTTGCTGGGACTAAGCATTATACCCATAGAAGAATTCAACAGAGAAACAACAGAAGGACCACTTTTACTGCCCAAAGGATCACTGATAATAATGATAAAAAGAAATCCACAAAGGCATTTCAGAAGAAATTTGTTTGTAATGGTCCTGCAATTGAGCGTCCAGAATAAGAAGAAATTCAGCTACAGGGTAACCAGTGCAAAAACATATTTTGATCCCTTGGAGAGACTGGACCAGCTAAGAATGACCAGCTAAAAGTTCACATGATTTAAGTGCTTGTGACTCACTGACGCTTAAGTAAGGATTTCCTTGCAAGGAGTGGAAAAATTCCCTTCTGTTCCTTGTCACGAGTTCAGAATTTTACAGCTCATATATTGTAACCTGCTATTTTAACATCCTTGAGGGCAATGGTTGTTCAGTGGTAGAATTTTAAAAATATTTTATTGTGCTTTAGGTGAAAGTTTACACCTCAAATCAATTTCTCATTCAAAAATTTATACGCATATTGTTTTGTGACATTGGTTGCAATCTCCACAATGAGACAGCACGCTCCCCCTTTCCACTCTATGTTCCCTGTGTCCATTCATCCAGTTCCTGTCCCTTCCTGCCTTCTCATCCTGCTTTTGGGTGGGAGTTGCCCATTTGGTCTCAAATATTTGATTGAACTAAGAAGCACATTCCTGACATTTTGTTTGTTTTATAGGCCTGTCTAATCTTTGCCTGAAAAGTGAGTTTTGGGGGTGGTTTCAGTTCTGAGTTAGCAGGGTGTCCAGGTGCCATCGTCTTGGGGGTTCCTCCAGTCTCTCTCAGACCAGTAAAGTCTTGTCTTTTTCCCTGAATTTGAATTTTGTTCTGCATTATTCTCCAGCTCTGTCTGGGACTCTCTGTTGTGATCCCTGTCAGAGTGATCGGTGGTGGTAGCCAGGCACCATCTAGTTCTTCTAGGCAATGGTAGAATTCTTGCCTTCCATGTGGGAGTCTTGGGTTTGATTCCTGGCCAACACACCTCATGCATAGCCACCACTCATCTGTCAGTAGAAGCTTGTGTGTTGCTATGATGCTGAAGAGGTTTCAGCTGAGCTTCCAGACTAAGATGCACTAGGAAGAAAGGCCTGGCGATCTACTTCTGAAAATCAGCCAGTGAAAACCCTATGGATCACAACAGTCGAATCCACAAACCATCATGGGGATGGCTCAAGACTGGCATGTGTTTCGTTCTGTTGTGCATGGGGTCACCATGAGTTGATGGCGAACTCAATGGCAGCTAACAACAACAATTTTAACATGGACTAGTATAATTCAGTCACGTAATAAACTGGGAAAATAAGCCATGCTTTGTAGTCTTAAAGTCCCTAAATGAAATGTAGTAAAGCCTTAAGCACTTGGACACTGCCTTGCTAAAACAGAGCAGTAACAGGATGTTTTAGCCAAACCCAGAGCCCCAAGATCCCAGATGGCTATGTCTGCACAGAGGCTCCCAGACCCACCCTCTGCAGAGTTTAAAAGAATGCAACCATTAGGCCTTGGTGAAGCTGAGAGAAGGACATGGGATAATGCAGTCACCACTTAGCTGTACCACTAGAGGGGCCTTTTGAAGCAAAAGGAAGATCTCGTGGTGTCTCAAAACTGACCATTTTAGCAGAGCTTAGAGAGGTGGTCTTCTTTGTACTGAGATGGCAGTAGAACACTTGGCTTGCCATCAGGGTCTTCGTTTTTATTTAGCCAGGTATAATATCCTGCCCAAGGGATGTTCAAACAAAAAACACCAGAATGTAAGGCCAACCTTTGATCAATGTTAAACTTGACAAAGGAAAAATTGCAAATAATGTATTAATCATGTTGCTAGCTATGGAGCTTGCAACTTAGTAATGCTTGCCCAATGCCATGTGATGTAACACTTGGGTTTCATTCTTTAATGTTATGTATTACGTAATGTATTTAAACTTCAATATAAGGAAAACTTTTTTTCAAAACAGAAAAAATGGACTGTCAATACCAATTTTTAATGACAATTTGGAGCAAACTGAACTGTAATATATTGCTGGTAAGAGAATAAAATGGTAAAAAAAAAAAACAAAAAACCTCACTTCGGAAAACTGACATTTCTTATAAACATATACCTACTGTATGTGTCAGCAATCACACTTCAAGGTATTTACCCAAGAGAAATGAAAATATATGTCCACAAAAAGAATTGTATAAGAATATTCATAGCAGCTGTTTTATTCATAAAGCCAAAAGCTGAAAATAACTCTAATTTCTATCAATAGGAGACTGGATAAATAAATTGTGGTCTTATTCATGCAATGGAATAC